GTGAGCTTGCTTTTATTTACACAGCTTTCAAAACATCAGGAGTTGTATTTGATGGATGCATCTTTTTCTGCTGTCACATCCAGCTTTTACCCATACATAAGGAATAAAAAATTACATGATGTGCTGTTTTAGGAAAATAATACACACCAAGGTGGTGTTATATACTGACTGCTGTAGGTCCAGTCTGATTTAAACACAAAGCATGACATGCTTGTGTGTGCATTCCGAAGCAGCAACGTGAGCGGCATTGTTCACATACTCGCCTGTGTACTTATATAGAGGTATTGTAGAGTCCATGCCTTGACGGGTCAGAGCTGTTTTGGAGGCACAAGGGGGTGACTTACACGATATTAGGCAGGTGGTTTTAATATTATGGCTGTATTATCAGTGTATATCCACATTATTAGAAGTCACTGAGATGTAATTTGGAGTTTTGGGCAATGCCCTGTGTTTCAAAGAGGTGCTATGGCACTGTTAGATAGCTAGCTAGCTAGCTAAGTGCAGAACACTTGTTTATGTAAATAAACAACATAATGGTTAAGATAAATATGGCCAGTGTGTAGCTACAAATGCATTCATGCCACAGTACATCCTCATTAAATGTAGGTTACTCTCTACAATAATATTTCAAGCATGGACACACACCCTTATGAATGTTTCCTACATTGAAATGTGACTAACATTAGATAGCTAGCACAGAACATGTGTTGATGTAAGTAAATGACGTAACATTCGAGATAAATATAGCCAGTATGTAGCTACAAATGCATTCAGGACAAAAGCTCATCCTTGCACCCCTTCTTTTAACATATGTAGCTGCAATTAAATTTGAAGCAAGAACACACAACTGAATGAAACTTTAGCTAACCTACCTCTGTCTCTCCAACTATCCCAAAATGATGCGGAGGAGGACTAGTTTGCGTACAAATGCAGCTGATGCATGTATATCACAGAATGTCTTTTGTCTACTGCTCACTGCTTGCTAGGTAAGGGTAGTTAGATTGAAATTCAGGTAAATAGACTCCTTGCGCATGCACATTTCAACAAAGGGACTCAGTCAGTCAGTCAGTGAGCAAATATGCCCCTTTTAGGCAAAAATCAGTTGCCCCTTGTGGTCAAAACTGGTAAAATGCACTAATTCATAGAATTAGTAATTCATACTTCTTTATGGATAAAATGGTAAAATTAAATTTGGAAAATCACCCATTTGTTATGGTATTTTAAGAAGAAAATTCATTTGGGAACTGTTTTACTTCTTTGTTGTCTCAAAGTTTTTTTACGGGAAAAAACAAAGGAGGAACGAAGTTCTGAATGCACAGCTATCATTACGTAACAATTATGATCACTTTTCAAAACTCTCTTGAATTTTTTCCTGTCTAAATTTGATCAAAGGTTATCATGAGAAAGAGTGGGGGAGGATGGTACCAAACATATGGTGTTATGATATCAATAAATTTCAGATATAATATTAAATTAAATGAATTATAAAACTATAACATGAACCTGAACTTGAGAAAAAGAGTAGGAAGCAAATTGGAAACAACTGCCACAATTATGACACAACATGAGTAATTATAAACAGGAATAATTAATAAACTACTGCTGAAGGTTAATACTCAATTCAAAGGATCTAATGCTATCAAAATACCAAAAACAAAGTAAAACAGTCCAGTCCCTTTTAATTGTTCCAGTAATCACAGATGTTGAAATTGTCACCCTTAATTTTCCTGGGTTTGCTGCAATCAGTATTAGGTTAATCTGTGTTTATTCGTTGCAGGTTTGACTCCATATTCGTAGCCTTTTTTACTTTTATATTTGCATGGTTGTAACATGCTTGGTTGCAGAAGCACCATTTTGGCTTGGAGGGAAAGGGACACAGCGAGCCCTCATTTAAGCGTCACTGGAGCAAAGCTGAGTTAACTGCCATGCTCAAGGGCACTGCAGCTTTAGCCAGATAAAGGGCATTTGACCTTCTGGTCCCCTGGTATCAGATCCCAACTGTGCTCCTAGCACAGCCTGCATGTATATACTATTCTTTTCTTAAGTATATATAAAATTCAACAACAGTATAAATGCATCCAATGTAATGAGCATTCAGTTTAATTGGCCTAATTCATATAAATGCTTAGAAACCAGCCTGGTAAAAAAAAAAACAAGGAAAAAATAAAGGTCACAGTAAAAAGATCATTAATTGGTAGTTCTGGAGTGGAGTAGTTCCAAGAAAAGAAGAAAACACAGAGGGGGGAAATCAATTTCAGTGCACCTATGTTAAAAGTGTTATTGCTCGAGGTTGTTGCAAATAAAAAGATAGCTATGTAAGTTTACTGTTTGTTTGTTTGTTTGTTTGTTTTTAACTAAAGCTATATGGCCACAAACTGTTTTCTCTCTATGTATAGCCAGATTTTTTTTTTTTCATTTAAGAACTTCAGTAGGTCAGCTTTCACTTAAGTCATATTTAAATTAAGCTTTAATTACTACAGGTAAGCCTAGTTTCTATTCTGAACAAATAAACAAATCCTTATTGCAAATAAACAAAATGCCAAAAGACATTAATTAAATAGTGAAAAGCAAACTGAATTCTGATGCACATTTACAAATTACACTATGATTACACAAATTAATGACACTAATTCCCATTACCTAGATTTGAATACAATGTTTCCACATGAACTATTGTGATTATCAATGCTATTTTATTGTAGTATCTCCAATACTACACGCCTTTTTCTACTTGCTGACATTTGATTTATTACATTTATTACATTTGATTATTACACTGCAAATCAAGTATTTTTCAGGTTGTTAAAATGGTTAATAAATCATAGTGTATATATACCATTGTCAGGGAGGTGGCTCGGGTTGTATACAAATGCAGGTTTATTAAAAATAGGCAAATGATCCAAAAGGGCAAATCCAAAACTGTAGTCAGAAATTAGGCACAGGACAGGCAATCAGCAAACAGAGTTAAACTAAACAAAAACAGATATCAAAGTAAATTATAGTCAAACCTGGAAGTACAAAAGAGAAGGCTTACAATTGTCATTAGTGCAAACTAGAAGTGAGACTTTTCAAAGAGTAATTGAAAGTCTGGGTTATTTAAGGTGTGGTCAGGTGTGTTTAATTAGAAGTCCGGTTCACTTGAAAATAAAAATGAATCATATTATGTGAGTTTGATCATACAGATACAGCAAAGATGAAATCAGTTATTAGGAAACTGATGGAATTTACATACACTTGTTTCACAGCCACATTCACAAATATGATGAATATGGGCCATTGTGTTCTGAGTAAAATAACAAGTTAGTCTTTTGCACTGCAGAAAGTGGTTATTTTGCCCTAATATAACTAACTAATGCACACCTTGATAATTAGTTAATTAGTTGAACTGAATAGATTAACCCCTTATAATCATGGCTTATTATTCATATTAGTCATTCATCTAAAAGCATATCATGTAGCAAGTGCTATGAATTATTCAATAACAGCAGTTATACAAATAGGTATGTATCTCTAAGAGTTAGAATAATCTGAAACTGCTGACAGGCCCTTGCAGTTAACAGGGACAAACATTGGGAAAAGTGGTAACTGTAAAGCACCTATTCAATGAGGACACAAAGAATTGACAAGGAGACTTATTCCAGTGAGAGACATCCAGTTGCAGCCCTGCAAACAAAAACACATTGAGGATAACAGTATAACACAAGATTGCACCCAAAAGACAAAGCACTGTAAGTTCATGAATGCACAACACTTCAGTATGATGATCTAGAACTCTTACGAACATACATAAATTTGGCTCCAAGGAACGGCCCTTGAGGTGTGTGAATTGGAATTGTGGCACAGGACCTCTCCTCTTCAACTGACTAATCAGTAGTACCAAATGAAGGAAGGCAGAAAAAAAATACAGTCTTCATCACTCAACCATGTAAGTCTAAGAAGCTCACATCTATCCGTGAGCTGTCCATAGGACTATGAATCAGCTCTCCAAACATTGATAGAGTTGTGTTTTCAAGTCTGGCTGATCCCGTGTCAATCTCAGTCTTTACTGTTGCCAGATGAAGAGGCATGAGATCATCTAGACCTTTACTGTGATCTCTATGGAAGACGTGTGTACATTGATTCCAATTGAAACATGTCTGCAGAGTTAATCTCCATGATTTCCAGACAAGCAGACTTGCCATGGCTAATCTCTGCTGACCTATGCATATACTGGTTCATAAGACTCTCTCAGCGATCTCTGTCGATGCCACAGCCAACTTGACTGAAGCTACACTCAGGACCCAATCAAGTTACCAACAAAATGACAGTATCAGAGCATAACAGCAATGGTTCTCTAAATACCGTTATCAATGTCGGCACGTAAGTTTAGTTATAACTGGTTTATTAAATAGATCTACTGTTGCTTTAAGGTATTAATTGTCAGAATAACCACTGCTGTTTACCGACTATACATATAGAATCCCTGATAAACATCAAATGTCATTACATGCTATCTGATGAATCAAACATATAAGTTAAAAATATGTATTTATAAATATCCAGGGTCTCAAACAGTCATTAAAAAAAAAAAAAAATTTATATTACTCCTCTATTTCTCATTTCCTGTCCCTTTTTATTTTTACCTTCTCACTTTTCTTTTTTATCAACTGCAGCATATTTTGTCATTTTTACTATATAATAATCACCTCACTGTATATATGAAAGTGAGAAGGCGTGGTTTATTAACCGGGCAGTATCTAATGCACCACTGGCCAATCATTGAGATCAAGAAATGCTCTTATGCTTCATTCGACTAAAGCTAATCCAAAGAAAGTGCCCTTCAGCACATGAAGTCATATGATCATGGCTGCTTGCAGCTTCAAGAGTAAACAAAGTAGCACTTCTTTACTTTTAAATGAGTTATACTGTATATGTTATACTGTATATGTTCATCTTGCTTTAGATCAACATACATTGGTTTGTTAAATTTATAACATTAACTATGTAGAGTCCATTGTGGGTCCCTGGAGGACTAGTGCTTAGGCCTCAGCGCTCTCACCAATGCGGCCTGGGTTCGATTCCTGGCCAGGGAACCAAGCCCAGGGTTGCAAAAGACAGTGCACTTGCAGTGCTGGTCCCAAGCCTGTATAAAATTGGGGAGGGTTGCATCAGGAAGGGCATCCGGCATAAAAACTGTGCGCAATCATATATGCAGAGCAATGATCCACTGTGGCGACCCCTAATGGGAGCAGCTGAAAGAACAACAACAATAACAACTATAGAGTCCATTGTCTTGAGTTGGCAAATACTTCACTCATATTATTAACTGGTAAGACTGTTGCTAACAAAAGACAGACAGAGAAGCATGTTTTTCCCACTTTGTAGCTCAGAGGTCGAAAATAACACAATTATGTGTTCTGTCTCATTTCCGGGTTAAGTCAAAAGCAGAATTAAACAGTAGTTTAGGAACTGTCCCACCGTGTTGTAAATCAAAAATAGAGGAGTAATAATAGGGTTTTTTTTATTTATTGTATCATCTTTTTGAACATTTAGAAAATATTCAATTTTTTTTTATTTTTAACAGTAATTAGTGGTTGTTTTCAGTTATATTTATAAATTTATTTATTTTCAGATTTATCATTTAGAACAGTCTAGTGGGAATGGTGAGTTTGCATTTCTTTACACAGCTTTACAAAACATCATGTTTGAAAGGGTGCATCTCCTTCTGCTGTCACATCCAGCTTTTAACGATACATAAGGAATAAAAAATGACAAGATGTGTTGTTTTAGGAAAATAATCCATGATATTCTGCCTGCTGTAGGTCCAGTCTGATTTAAACATGAAGCATGACATTGTGTGTGCATTCAGAAGCAGCAGCAACCTCAGCGGAATTGTTCACATACTTGCCTATGTACTTATATATACATCTGAGGGATTAAAAGTGACATCCACAAGATGGCATATCTGCCTGTCAGGTTTCCGATTCAAAATGTAGAATGTTTAGCAATTTCATGCACAGCGGTTTTAAACCACTGACAAGCTCTGTTTATTTTAAAACTTTCCACTGTCGTCATGATTACTATCATGAGCTGTGTCTCAAATCAAAAACTCTGAACTTCCATTCAAAAGTATTTACTAATTTAGAAAATCCAACTGACTGGACCAGACCTCTTGGCAGGTTTGAAAGCTACATGCGAGGTTTTTAAAATTCAACCACCAACCGTAATAGGAAAGTGGTAGGTAGATAGACAGATGGAAAATTTTCCATTTTTACTGCTGAACTCCTACGCTACTACAGTGTGTGTAAGGATAGTGAAAAAGACTAAAATACCATCTACACTCTTAATTTAAATGTGGCTTGATTGATTGTGAGTCCCAATAACATTTCAAAATATTAGCACACAAAATCCATTTTCATAGTTAGTTACATATTTCTAATATTATTTTGTAAAATAAATGAATAAAACAAACAAGGCGATTGAGAGTATCTCTCATAACCCTATTTGTAGATCAGTCGACCCCGTGCTAGGATGTAGTGTGTGAGGGCGGTCCATCAGCTACCTCACACTCTTCTCTTGGTCTCGCTCTCTCTTTCTCACTCTTTCCCTTCTCTCCCGCTTCCTCTCACTGTGTCTGTCACTGTCTCCCATCACAATATTACATCATCACACAGCAGAGAGCAACTGATGAGCTATCATCCTGACACCGTTGTGGGAAAACACAGTAGATCTCTGCCAACCACATACATATTAAATGCAAAACACACTTAATGGCACAGATTGGGGCCTTATAGAAAATAGCACAGAAAACAGTGTGTGAGTGAGAGAAAGAGACAGAGAGAAATTTAATCAGATTCTGCTCATAGGATTTTTGTCTTTGCCCAGTCATTTCTGACTTTGTTTGATTTTGACTAATGCAGAAACACCCTAACCGAGCCTTTAAACATGACCCACACTGACCGCTCTCTGCCAGTGCTGGCACTCTGAACACAGAAGAAATCAGTCACCCTCAGAATTTTCACTATCATTCAAAACACACTGATCTGCAGAAATGTGAACATGACATTCATACCAAGATGCATTTCTGAGATTTTGAGCAAAAAAAAAATCTCTCTCTACAAAGAGGGAAGGAAGGTGACTGTCAAACTTGGAGAAGTGATATGTCAGTCAGGAAGACTGAGACAAGATCATGAGTAATTAAAGCCTTGTGTATCAGATGTGGTATCAGATGTTGGCTCTTCTTCACTGCAAACACTACTCAAAATGTTGCATTTTGTACCCATAAATCAAAAAATCAAAAATCTAAGTTCATTTAACTTATTTAACCTACAACATCTATATCTAGCTATATCTATCTATTAAAAATAGGCATATATATATATATATATATATATATATATATATATATATATATATATATATATATATATGGGTTACATCATTAGAATAAATCAAGTCCTAGATATACTACCAAAAAAATGACCTGCACCAGGTGAAGGAGCTTCTTAAATGTTCTCAGGGATGACATTATTAAACAACACACAAGTGGATACTGCAAAAGCTACCTTAAAGTCCCAGCTTACTTATTTTTACATAATTTGGCAGATGTTCTTATTCACACTGGCACACATTATCACTTTCCCAAAAAGCTAATGCTGCAAAAAGTTAATTACTTTTCACTGCAGACTTCTCAAAGCTACATTTGCCAACAACAGCAACAGTCTACTAATGTTTATACAGTCCCCTCCAAAAGTATTGAAACGGCAAGGCCGATTCTATTGTTTTTGCTATACGCTGAAGACATTTGTGTTTGAGATCAAAAGATGAATGTGAGATGATAAATCAGAATTTCAGCTTTCATTGACTGATATTTATATTTAGATGTAATAAACAACTTAGAACATGGCACCTTTTGTTTGAACCCACCCATTTGTTCAAGTGATCAAAAAATATTGGAACATGTGACTGACAGGTGTTTCTTGTTGCCCAGGTGTGCCCTGTTGGACTGATTGTTTAAACTATTGATAGCTCTGAATGTCTACTCTTGGTTTGAGCCCTGGATTGCACCTGTGAAGACTGCATTTGTTGTTAAAAAGGATAAATCAACATGAAGACCAGAGAGCTGTCTATGGGAGAAAAGCGAGGCATTTTGAAGCTGAGACAAGAGAAAAAATCTATCAGAGCCATTGATACTGGTGTACCAACAACCAGACATCAAAACATTCGGCCAAGGAAAACAACAGCAGTTGATGACAGTCATTGTGAGAGCTGTAAAGAACAATCAAAAAACAACAGTCAGTGGCATCACCAACAACCTCCACAGGACAGGGATGAATGAATCCCTATCCACCTTTTGAAAAAGACTTTGAGAGCAGAAATATAGCGGCCATACCACAAGATGCAAACCATTCATCTGCAGCAAGAATCAGAAAGTCTGATATGAATTCACAAAGAAATACAGAGATGAACCAGAAAAGTTCTGGAACAAAGATTAACCTCTACCAAAGTGAAGGAAAGGCCAAAGTGTGGAGAAAGAAAGGATCTACTCATGATCCAAAACATATGAGCTCATTGGTCAAGCACAGTGGAAGTAGTGTCATGGCTTGGGCTTGCAAGACTTCTTCTGGAATGGGCTCACTAATCTTTATTGTTGATGTACCTCATGATGGTAGCAGCAGAATGAGTTCAGAAGTGTACACAAGTATTCTGTCTGCCAATTTACAAAGAAATGCATCCAATCTAACTGGGAGGAACTTCATCATGCAGTAAGACAATGCACACTGCCAACACCCAAAACACACTGCCAACACAAAAAAAGGACTTAATCAGTGGAAAAAGTGTAAGGTTTTAGACTGGCCAAGTCACCAGACCTTGAGGAGACTGAAGGAAAAAAACCCAAAACTGCCGGTTCGATGCAGTCACTGCAAGCAAGGGATATGCAACCAAATATTAAGTGTTATTTACTTTAAGACTATCTGCACCAATACATTTGCTCATCTAAACATTGGGTGGTCTGGCACAAAAGGTGCCATGTTTTAAGTTGTTTAACACATCTAGATGTATATTTCAGGAAATGAAAGCTGAAATTCTAATGTATCATCTTATATTCATCTTTTAATCTCAAACTCAGTTGTCTTCAATATATAGCAAAAACAAAAGAATTGGCATCGCCATTCCAATACTTTTGGAGGAGACTATAATTTGTGGATCCAAAACATCTTTGTTTATGCTTATGAATACATACTTTTTTGTTCATACTGTATTTATAAATACAAAGTCAAAAGATATTATGTGTGCAAATTTGAAACATTCTGAAATATTTTACCACTCAAAGGATCCTGAAGATCTTGTGGACAATACATTATGATAGAAGCTTATGTAAATGTGTGTTGCATTTCAGAATCAAGGCCAGTGTGCCATTTTCCCTGGCAGCTTGTCTCCTCTTTGTCATTATCAATCCAATTATGGTATTACATCACAGATTATTGACCAGTGCTCAGGAGGCCATTTTGTTTGGATGTAATCCCTATTACAGAATTAATTGTCATTGGCAATTCACTGCTTATTCATTGGCTTTTGCCTATGAATAAGCAAAAATCCTCTCCGTCATAAAGCCACCTTCCTAAGGCAGTTTAGTGCTGACACACTCTGTATTATGTGTCTATGGAAGCATATTGAAATACAGTTTACAAATCAGCACAAACAAGAGAGTATAGGGGGAAAAAGGAAGCCCATTCATTGTGGAAACTGCAGACAGTGAGTATGTAGCATTTAAAGAGCAAATCTCTTATGTTGTCCACAAAGTTCCTGCACTTGTTCACGAACTGCCACTCAGCAAGGCACCAGCAGTCATTCTGGGTGATGAATGGGCTTCCTGTAGAGATTTGATCCTCTGATAAATGAGTCAGATTTCAGCTGTGAACCAAGTCTTTAATAATGACTGGCTTGCTCTAAATAAAAAAACATCTCAAGCTGTTTATATACAACCATACACAAACTGCTGAAAGATGTTCTCACATTATGGTCCAAAAATGTAGGTTGTATTGTATCACCTTTCAGATACAAATAGAAAGCTCTCTGGTGATATCAACCC